TGAATTTTTGTGATATCGTGTTAATCCACTCATTGATATCAATATCTGCGCTAATTCGCTATGCTAACTTGGCAGGATATTGATATCAACTCTGAGATGAAGATAAAATCATTTAAAATCATATGATATCCAATACATATCCTTTACTGTGCCACAACCTTCTCATATGTTATATTTTGGCACAGGCCATCATTTATTTTCCTTGAATTCATGTTTTTGTTCCTCGTTTTAGAAATGAGAGGAAATCTTTGATTTTCCTTGTATTTAAGTTGCTTAAATGTTGCCCTGTGATGTTGATAAAAGTCAATAGTAATCCACTATAGTCACAGTCGAAATGTACCCATTGCTAGCCCAGAACCTACCAAAATAGCATTTGCATTTTGCCAATATTGCCCTATGTGCTTTTCCATGAAAATAATTTTAATCGTATCTTTTCTTCAGTATTTCATATATTACATGTTAATACATTTAAATTGGTTTATATTTATATATTATTTACTTAGACAACAATAAATAAAGAATTTTTTGTAAAAACACCAAAAATGGTATATGATCTTTAAATGACTGTTGTGTGAACATCAAAGGTCAAAATTCGCTGAAATTCAATATGATATGCATTATTATCAGATATCTTTGGGGGCTAAAAAGGGCCCTTAATGACACCCGTCCTTTCTCCAATATCGCGGGTGTTTAAAGAAATCGAATTCTGGCCACCATTTTGAATGAAACTAACTGCAGTTGGAGTCATCTAGCTGTTGAACAGTGTAACTGGAGTTCAGTTAGTTTCTGTGGAATTCGCAAATATTTGTGATTAGCAGTTACATCCACTACATGTCCTTTTTTAAATGTCCACGACGTCAAAAAATAAAACACTTGACTTAGCCAGATTTTTTCAATATTCTGATTTTTTTTAATCTTAAAAAGCACAAAAAGACCTTTCAAATGAGCATGGCTTATATCTTAACAATTCTTCCTTGCATATATAGACCAAAAAGTCGGATTTGAATTTAGCACATTTTTCTTTTAAACTTGGGCACATGTAGCACAATGCTTTGCTATGACCAGGCTAGGTAATTGTTTTAATCTTACTTCATCACATACTTACAATAGTGTAATTTAAGACACCAGAAATAAATTATGCATGATTTTTTGTTAATTAAGAAGTTTGAACAGATACGAGACCCACATTTTTAGTACACTCACTCTCTTTATATCATCTTAAATAAAGTATTTGGCAATTTGTAGTTATCAGGGGCAACAAAGACTACAGACTAAGCGTCAGTTTTGAAAAAAACATATATCCATTAAATCAACCGTAGGGACATTACGGCAGTTTATGACTATCTTCCCATTTATACTTCCTGAAGAAAATGGTGCAGTAGGTTAAAATAACGTCGGTGAAATTAACTAATTATCATTTTAGACATGCGCCAGATGAGCATCTCATAATACGATTTCAGGACTAATCTAACGTCAAGGCTGGTTGAACATTTGGAAAAGTGCAGTTATAACGAACTTGGAACATAGTTTATCTATACATTTTAAGAAAATAGGTATGTCAAAGAAGGTGTCAAGCCAAATGTTGCCTTGATAGCTCAGAAAAAGTTAAAATTTTCCTATTTTTTCTCTACAGGCCTAGTCGCCCCTTTAATCAGTTGCACTGGTGAGGAGTAAGCTTGTATTCGCGAATGCAACTTTCGTCTGTCGGCTATCGGGTTAACCTGGAGACGCGACTTTTTACAACAACATAATACATGTTTTTCGGCTGTTTATTGATTTAGTTCATGCCACTTTTCATTTAGGCCTACTCCACCAGAGTCACAATGACAACTACGAACGTAACTGTCAGTGTAACATCAAAACTTTCTGGATGTGTACGATACACTATACAACAGGTCTATATACATGTACCCCGGAAGGATCGCATATGCTTCAAGAAAAAAATACGACCAACGTCCGCACAATAACTATTGATCTTTGATAATCCAAGGTCGATGTACCGTAGGTTTACGCCATTGTCATTTGAAATGAGGCGCCTTTTAGATATTATGAGACAGGCCCGAGAAGTGTCTGTTATTAATAATTTTCCGTACTAATGCAGTACACTTATCTCACTCCATTCTGTGAAATATGTACTTAAAATGAATATTGAGTGGATGTGTGCGTGTCACATGAACAGATGGGTAAAATGTATTAATCGCATAGACAACCGTGACGTTTTAAAGCTATTTTTATTTAAGGTGGCGGAGATGTTACTGCATGCACGTTTCCATCTCTAGGATTTCGGGGCCATTTAAAATCGATGGCAGTTCGGTTGGGTCTGTTTTCCAGGTGTACATTATGCAAGCTGTCATTATATATGTAATTGTCTTAGAGTCGTATGATTTGTGTAGTATGAACGTTGAAGGTATGAATGTGACTGTTTTTGTACAAACTAGAACCGTATTTTAGAACGGTTCTTCCTAAACATTGCCTTTCTGTTGGTACATTGCTTCATTGAAAAGAGTCCCTCGTTTTAGCAGCGTTATGGATCCCCACCTGTCCTTCTCACAGCTAGGGACCAAAATGCCGCTTGAAGTAAGGACTCTGACTGTATAACAGAGTAATGTTCCAACAGAGGAGCATTTTTGTTATGCTTTGAATGGTACAAGTTTGAAGAAAACCGGTGCAGTATGAGACTCCCAGTCCTTGATTTTCAAACATCTGGTAGGTCACATATCTAAATTAATTGTCGAAGTTAGTACCGCGTGGAGTAGGTCATCCAGAACTTAGAGCATGCTCAAAATTTTCTGGTGACGTCACGATCTGCGATCAGAACGAGTGACAACGTACTTAATATGGCTGGCCAAGTGGTACAAAGTTACGTCGTTATGTTTACGACCGCAAGAACGTAAATATACGTCCTTAAGATCGTTATTATCGGTTCCAAGAACGTAAATTAACGACCTCATAGTCGTAATGTTTACGACCGTTAGATCGTAAATAAACGACCACAAGAACGTAAATGTACGACCATAAGGTCGTTAATTTACGTCAGTAAGGTCGTAATAACACGGTATTGAGGTCGTAAATTTACGTCAGTAAGGTCGTATAACACGGTCGTAGATTTACGTCAGTTAGGTCGTAATAACATGGTAGTGAGGTCGTAAATTAACGTCAGTAAGGTCGTATAACACGGTCGTAAGGTCGTAAATTTACGTCAATAAGGTCGTAATAACACGGTATTGAGGTCGTAAATTTACATTACGACTATGAGGTCGTTAATTTACGTTTTTGGAAGCGATAATAACGACCTTAAGGACGTAAATTAACGACCTTATGGTCTTACATTTACGTTCTTGCGGTCGTTTCTTTACGACCTTACGGTCGTAAACATTACGACTATGAGGTCGTTAATTTACGTTCTGGGAACCGATAATAACGACCTTAAGGACGTAAATAAACGACCTTATGGTCGTATATTTACGTTCTTGCGGTCGTACATTTTCGACCTTACGGTCGTAAACATAACGACGTAACTTTGTACCACTTGGCCAGCCATAACATGGTGCGATCTGAACGAACTTCGAATGAGATGGGCGTATTGAAGACTGTTTATGAACGAAGTAGCTAATTATTTTAGACATATTTCACGACTATTACAGCCAGATTTACCCTGTTTTACGGCTTTTTCGTAGGACTGGAAAGAACGGTTGAAAACTAGTTTTGGGTGATAGGGGTGTTAATAAACACACTTTATATGGTATTGAAAGGGTGTATTTTATTTGATTGAGAAAACATTCATATTAAGCCAAAGCAGGATACTGATATACGTATGCAAATTAAAGTAATTGTAGCTGATATACATCGATCTCTGTTTTTGAAATTTACGTTTTAACTCATGATGCTTGATAAATGATGGAGCTGTCTAAGTGCTTTCACAATAGCTTGGCATACGTTATTACTTTCTGACCATTCGGAACACAGCGTATTGAGCTTTGCAAAAAAATGTTTGGTTTGTATTTACAGTATTATTGAATTTACATTTAAAAATCGTGTTAAAATAATACGTATGTGTCGAAAAAGCTTAATTTCACTCGTTTCTTGTAAAAAACTAAACCTCGGCTTGCGGCCATTAGTTTAACCTGAATATACTAGAACCTCGTGCTTTTAAATCATACACTTCTCTTGCCAAAACAATGCATGCCTTAGAAAAATAATAGAGAGATATCGCTCATAAGTAAAACTGTGACTTATGTTTATGCGTATAGCTATACTTTTTAAGTACTAGTATTTATGCGTGAATTGTACTTTTGCCTTTCGCAACAAATACGTACTTATACGTATAAAAAGTATATTTTATCGATCAATTCTTAAAGTTTTTGGACCCCAGGGTTCAAAGAAGACATCTATGATGCAAATTTGTAATTGCGAAGATATCATCGTAGTCCTGCTTCAAGACCGTGGACTATCTGCTCTAATATCAGTTGTTAACGTAGATATTCCTGGGTCTTGAAGCAAAACTAACATCATATTTCTTGAGAACAAATCAGAATTAGTGATTTCCATTTATTTGAAACCTACATCTCTACTTGGACCGTATATCGTGAAAGACGCAGTCTTATTTATGTAAGCACATCTCCAGTACTCATTACTCAACCTTTTGGAAAAATTATCTATTTTAGTCGATCTTTCAAATGAATCTATATCTCCAATGTTAGGTATTCTGATGAGCGTGGTTCACGCTAATCAAACCTTTTGACATTGCCGTAACAGAATTAGGAGTCAATAATACGATGAATCGTTTTGTTAAACCACCAATATGCAATCATCCACAGGTGTATGTCGCATTCTTCAAGTCTTTAAGATATCGGCTTCAGTTCTCATTGTTACAATTTGTAGCTTTGTAGTCTTTCTCAAGTGGATGAGACGTATGTCACTAGCATCTAGAGTAATTGGGCTGTTTGTTGCGACTATTTCGTGACTGGCCGTGAGCGTATTAGGAGACTTGATAAAATGATATGCCTCCTTAACATTCACAGTCCTTGGAGTAGCGTCACATGTCCAAGCGACCTTCACGTTGTACTTGGCGTACTTTCGAGTTGATGTATTCTTGCCAAGATTCCAGCCAGTTTCTGAAATGAAAAACAACAGTCAAAGTCATAAATTAGAGCGATGGCGATATTAGAAAAGTACATGTTACCAATAAACCAATTTAGCTTAGTTATCCTTATTGCTTCATAGAAATAAAAAATCTATGTTGTTCATAGTTATTGTTTTAATTATGTTATTTGTGTAACTAGTATGTGTGATTGATTGTAATAGTCTCGCCACCCTCCAAGCAATATTATTGCTAAATGTGGGCTAAGTGCGACTATTTTCGATATAAATTCAACTTCCTACTCTCTACTCCCACCACCGCTACCCTTGCTAATTTTGAGTAATTCATGACTTCCGTGGTTTCAACGTCATCAATTAATACGTATTAAATGATGACCACCATTAAGGTGGTGCAGACGCGTGGGAAACTAATTAAGTACGACACAAACATGAAAAATTCAATCTGATAAAAACAAGATACAATTAAATATCACTATTATCCAAACGAAGTTCGGTAGGGATATAGTGAAGCCCTCCGTTCGCCTGTCCATCCGTCTGTCCGTCTGGAAGATAACTCGAATACTGGTAGTCGGATTTTCTTCATATTTGGTGGAAATATATATATTGGTGAATAGTTTTACGCAAAAAAGTTTTTTCAAGATAGCTGAAGTATAGCTTTATTACATTAAAATGAAAGGCAATTTAGAGTAGATTGCAAATATTGTATAGTTTTTCTGATTCGGGCCTCGGGTAAAATTCAAAATGCCCGCCTAATGTGGGATTTCGCAATAATTTTCTGATCTCTTAGAAGTATGGCTATATTATACTCAAATTGAAGGAATTTTAGAGTAGATCATAATTTGTTTTTCGGGTTTGTGCCACATCGCCATTGCTTAGAGATTTCTTTAAAGTATGGTTACATGATACTACAATGATCTTAAATATTTATTGAAGGGAAGAGTAGATGGTAAATATTTCATTGTGACTATACAGATTCATGATTTATATAGTCACACCGGAATAGCCTGGCAACGGTAAAGTGAGATACCGTTGTCACAATGGCGAACATAACCGTCGCTTCATGATTTTCATGAACTGTATGTTTAATAGAGCACCTAGACTAAATTCCTTTGGAACAACAATCAATCAAATCGTCTTTATACTCATTGTACAGTTATTAATATTGTACCATCGAAATAAAATCTTTAATTTAAACCGAACATAATGAGATTACTGGACAAGGGACACGGTATTACCACATGCCGTTGTTTTTGTAAATTATTTCAAATTCAGATTCCGTTGTCATTGATGATATCGAAGACGCTATATTTTGGCGATTCACGACCCAATTTGATCGAAATTGGGATTTCATATGATACATCATCACAGAATTAGCGTCGATAAAATCCCATGAAATGAGGAGCGAGTGATTAAAGAATTAAAGACGAATCGGTTATGTCCGCCATTTGTGAGAACGGTATCTGACTTTACAGGTGTCAGGCTATTCCGGTGTGATAGTGTTCTTTGGAATTTGCTACTCCGTGGTGCCGATCTCTAGTTTAACGTGTTGTTTTCACTGACGAACTTCAAAACAAATTATTAAGTACAATTGGCGTGCGTATGCTTTCAAATTGGGCGGATGCACAAATGAAGACAATTAAAAGAACATAAAATTTGAAATCAATCTATTTTAATTTAACAACACCAAATAAATCAGTAGCAGGTTTTGGGTAATAAAACGGGATTAATTATTTATCAAAAACCAGCTTGTGATTAAATCTTGTTCGGTGGATAAAGGTAAAAGAAATGCTTGTAATACCACATGGGCCAATTAAAACTTGATTTATATTTACAAGATCCAATACACATTGATCAGTGTCTCCATAACATAAAAACAACCGGGTGCTGTACCTATTGAAAATTGGAAATTTATGTTTGCACTTTCTCAAAATTATGAGATATTGAGATATTTTAAACAAAATGGGCAAGATTAGGATTATGCACTAGAGTCGAGAAAAACCCTGGGGGAGATCAATTCATTTGTAAGAATAATGTGTCCATATTCTTGTACATACAAATTTGGCTCCAAAAATAGTTTTACACTTTTTTGTTTACACCTAATGTTCGTTTTTGTCATTTTCAGCTCATATTACCTCCATTGTTAGTCTTTGGAAAAGAAACAAAACACCAACGGTTTTAATTCTATGACAATTCAATACCATTATTTATATTCACAGTTTTGCAACAAGGTAATATTATTTCAGCAAATGGTATAAATGTAATGTATCCTTAGGGCAGACATTCACTAGAAGGTGTGGCATTGATATTTACTACGCCAACAATAAAACAGACAGAAAACTCAACTGGTTACGCGGTGCATAATATTCAATGTATTTTCATTCTTTCTTGTTAAGTCCCCTCTGCCTGTTTGGGAGTGGGACGCTCTTATGTTTCTTATTATATATTTTTAATACAATACAAATTCAATAACCCGTCTACAACTCTAAACGTTTAGAAGTTCTATTGTCTCCATCCCGGTTCCGCTCAGCGAACTCAATTTAAAGGGACAAAGTGCGTAAATGAAGTCTCATTTTTGATCTTCATAGTATTTCCAATGGATTAATAAACACCTGATCTTTCATATGACACCAAAAAAAGCTCAAACAAACCTCATCAGAGTTGACACTAGCTCATGAAAAAATATTTTTGATCTATCAATTTATATATGTCAAGTTTTTAGCAATGCCATTGAAAGATGGCATTGTTGTTTGCATTAATTATCCATTCAGTTTTGACAGGATTTTCAAGCATACGCCATCTTTTAATCCAAAAGTTATTCAAAACATACACTTTGTGAAAAGTGGTAATTCATTTTTTTCAATCTCTGAACTTCAAATGCTGTTTTCTATGTGAGTAATTTTTTTTTCACTTCAGTATTATCCCAAATTAAAGTTTTTATCATATTCGATTGACTGTGTGAGTGACATGTCTCAAATAATATTTTGTCCTTTTTCCTTCAAAAATAGGCGCATTGCCTGTTTAAGTTTTACCCAATTTACGAAATAAGGATTATGTTTCAAAATTTAAGTTAACTTATGCTATGTATTTTAAATTTTGATATCAAATCATTGATCTGCTCCAGCAATATGTGAGAGTGAAAATCTCACAAACATAAAAACTACTTTTTAGGAGAAAAATGCATACCTTAAGTACATTTTTGAATTTTTGATGTTTATGATAGTGTACCTAGAACCTCAGTAGGTGTGGAATACATCTGTTATGTACTGATTCTAAAATGACAGTTCATTCTGTTGTAGAATTTAGAATATTTTTGTGTTTTCAAACTTGCACGGGGCCTTTAGGTTGGCAAACAAACCGTCGACTTTTGTAATTCACCAAGGCTCAAGTGTAACTGAGCATGTTCGAACATTTATACAAATTAAATGTATTCGATTTATTCATGTTGATATTATAATGACTGTGTATAAATAATAAGATTTATTTTATGACAAAGATCGCCGATGTTCTTTGAAATTCTTTTTGTAATCCTTCTGACATATACCAAGCACGTTTGTCAAGATAAACCCGAAAAAAATTGGCCTCAGGATTATAACCACCTCAAACCTTGCACTTGTTAGGAAAACAATCAAAACGTTTATTTCTCAATCGTATTGTCACTTTATCGATCAAAGCAATTAAGAAAGTGAAGGACGATCGGCTGAAATTGGTTGTGTAGGGTTTGTCAACTCCCACAGGCCAGTGGATACAGCTCTCAGTTGTAAGTAATATTTCCAGGATGCTTGTTTACACGAGGAAATATGCAAATAGGTAATCCGTGTTTCACTACTCTTAGGACACTTATTGCTATATATTGATTCTACCTGCTACCTTTGTGTTGTAAATACATTGTTAATAATTTTATGTACTTAGACATTTGCTACTTGATTTCATTTCATAATATTACTGTCTTCGGAGCGAGATCAATGATCAAGAGAAATCCATAAAACCGAATCATAGACTTGTGAGTCGGTATGAAGGTCTATGCCCGTTTTATTGTCAAAACAAATGTGCAACTGGTCGAATGCTTTACTTATATGATTTCAAAAACGTAACTCTAATTATTAATCTAAATACACGTCGCACGAAACTGGGGACAATTAGCGTAACATTATGGCGTCAAAAACCAAGACAAAATAATGAGCTGCATAGGGCGCAAACAGCCTTACAACGTCAAAAACGACAAGCGTCACATTTTTGTCAAGTTTAGTCAACCTAAAAATAAAATACTTTATCCTTATCTAATCATCACAAAATTCACAGGGTAGCAAGATCTCGAGGACAATATTTCTAAAATGTTTTCGAATTTTGAAAAACGGTCAAGAAATCTACTTGGGGCGTTGGTAAAAATTGATATGTATGGAATTTGTGGTAAAAAATCGATGCGTCACATTTTTTTCAAGTCTCGAAAACCAGCTCTTATTTTAATATTATTTGCAAAATAAACAAACTGATTATTGTTTTGTAAATTTCGCCATTACAATATTGTGCAGTTAATTTTTCTTTCAAATCAGACTCAGATTAGAAGGTTAAATAAAGGTAAACGTATTGCTCGTCCCATTCGCCTTCAAAACCTTACACAATTTTGAAAATTTTAAAAGCGTTCATATACGTTAATTTGAGCGGGAGCCGTTAAGCAATTGTGACGTCATAAATGAACATGTTCCATTGAATAAATTGTGAAATTTTAATGGGATTTTGATCATTATTTCAAAAGTTATCCCAATTTCAACGAGCCCTATAAGCGTAAAGTGTTACGTCTTACAGCGTATTTGACGATGTCGGGATATTTTTAACTTTAAAAAAATGTTGGATCCCATCAAAATTTTGAAGGAAAAATAATTTCACTGAAATGCGAATAAAAAATACTTCAAAATGATATATAAAACACATAGTTAGCTTTTTAAATAAGGCAGAGATTAACGCTCAAAGCTGAGATTAGCCCGTATTTCCCGAATTGTCCCCAGGTCCGTGCACG